CTGTAAAGTGACACTAGTGTTTGGCCACAGCTGTCCATGGACAGGATGTTTCAGAGCTGGCTGACCCCATGGGGGAGGCACTACCTCTGTGGAAAAAGTTGCAGGAACCTGGAACTGGGGATAGTACAGTGAGGCAGCGTAGAAATGGTCAGTAGTTTGGGACTACAGGCTAAAATGTCACCAATAAAGGCACCAAGGTGCCCAGAGCCAACCTGCCCTAATTCATCAGAGTGCTGGGTGTCCTGCTAGAGATAGTGCCTGGGAGAGAAGGCCCATTCCGGCTTAACCTCATGAACGGGAGTGGTACTCTGACGTTTACAAAGTACTCTACAGAATTCTTGCATTAGGCTTCTATAGCTCTGTAAGTTTTTAAGAATAAATACAATCATGCTAGTTGAGCCATCTGTGTGGCAGTCGGATTTTTGAGAAAGGCCTAGACTGCAATTGTTGCTCCTTCTGAATTCGAAAATGTAGAAATTGCCTAATAGCCCCGACCCTAACCATTCCTTCTAGGACCTCCTCTCCTTTCTGCTGTTCCCACAGGCATCATCTTCAGGCCTGCTTCACCGGAGAACATGGAGGGAATAGGCTTTTTTTTTGTACATCACTGTTCTTTATAGTTTCCTTTAGCAGACCCTTCCCAGGTTTGTTTTGTTTTGTTTTTTGTTTTTTAAGCTGAAGAAAATTTGGAGGCCAAAACACCTGAAACAGTTTGGCCAGACCCTTTTTGAAGGTAGTTTCCTGAAATCCCACTGTGTAGGGATCTAGTGTGGGCAGTAGCCCAGAAAGATCCTCTTGTGCGAGTCAGCCCTTATCCCACAGGAAGGAGCTAATAGCCTGGATCTCTGCTTAGTCTGGGGTGGCAGGACTAAGACTGCCAGTCAGAAGCAAAACAGCCAGCCATGCAGCCTCTTGCAGTGGTGTGTCCCACCTCTAGAAGGTGGGTACAGAGAGAGTAGATGCTTTCCTAGGTACTTCCTGCCAGTTTAGGAAAAGTAGGTAGGTTTCCCTTCATAATGTGAATTGGATCATCCTGTCCTTGAGTGTCCATAGATATGCGAGACACCGTGACTGAATGTGCTCTACAGAAGTTGTTGACAAACTTTCCATGTGAAGAGCCAGTCAATACTTTTGGCTTTGCTGGCATCTACTCCACTCTGCCACTGTAGCCTGACTGCAGCTGGACAGTATGTAAACGACAGGGTGCAGCCAGGTCTAGTCTGCAGGCTTTGGCTTGCTGACCCCTGCCCTAAGGCCAACTGATACACTGAAGAGAAGAATCTTGCATTGATAATGCGTATCTCTGACCCACCTTCCACATCTGCAGGGCTGGAGGGCCGGAGACCAGCCTGCAAGCTGTGCAGCTGAGGCTAAAGCGAGCAGCGTCTCCCACAACTTTCCATTAAAGGGGTCTGGACGCACCCCAGGCAGCGATCTGAAGCAGAACCAAGACAAAAACTAGACATCTAGGGAAGGCTCTTTCAGCCCACTTCAGGGACTGGAACTGCTCTTCAACCCACAGCCTCAACACAAGTATCTTTAATAGTTTTGACAACGCAAGAGGGTGACGATGAGCAACACGAGTCCACAGGCCTACCCTTTTCCCCTCTGCAATTGAGGAAATGGGCAGTCCCAGGGCCAGAATCCTGGTCCTAGAAATAAATCACCTACCCTCCTGCTGTTTTCAGACGGCCGTAGGCTGGAACGTACAAGGGGAGCGTCAGTCCTTAGTCCTCACATGTGGCCCTCATGCCAGGAGGAAGACAGGTCAGCTCAGGCCCATTCAGAACTCACTAAGCTCACTCTACCCCATCAATCCAGGGTATATCCCAAGAGTCCAGAGCAGGGAAGGGGCTGGGGCTGGGCCTGAGGAGAGAAGACTGGCCAGGATTCAGGGTAACTGGCAGAGAGCCGGGAAGGCTGTGGCCCCTACAGCAGACAGCAGGCACGGAACATCAGCAGGTCCTCGGGCACAGTGGGCTGCAGTGAGACACTCTCATTGGCCCCAATGAAGAGTACCCCGCCCCGCCGCAGGGGGATTGCTGCCTGTGCTGTGGGAGTGCTGGCTGTCACTGTCCCTTGCACCATCAGGAGGATGCTGGCGGAGTCCAGTGCCGAGACCTTGTATTCAGCAGCAGAGCCAGGGACCTGGGCAGGAGGAAAACAGGATGGTGCAGTTTGGTCTCTGCTCCTGTCATTCATGGGGGCCCAAGAAGACCCGAAGGGTGGTGAGAATTCTGGCACCTTCTCCCCATTGCTAAGGTCCTGTCAGCATGGAGGCCCATGTCTGGTCCCTGTTACAGAGGGGAGTGGGCAGGCCCATGGCCATGGCCGCACCAAATGAAAAGAAAGGAAACCCAGCCCCAGGTATATTCCACTTTGTAGCCTTTGCCAGGCTTTTTCATGCTACACTTAAGGCTCCCCACCATGGCCCCCCACTCACCTCCATCTTCATAACAGTGAAGTCTGTAACAGGCGGGTCATAGATAGAGAGGCAGGGGTCTTCCTGACTCCGTGTTGGATGGAAGAGCCTGTCCTTGCTGGGGCTGGGGGTATAGCTGAGCATTTCGCACAGAGTTGGCACATCGATGAACTTGGGTGTCAGGCCTGCACGCACTGTGTTGTCTGAACACGCCATGCACTCCACGCAGTCTGGGGACAAACCGTTGTCACGGGCTAAGCTGATGAAGGATGCTAGGAGATTGGTACTCCAGGGCTGGACCAAAGTAACCTGGAGTAACCTGAGTGCCATGAGCTCCCTGCACAGTTAAAAATGTGTGAACTACATTCTCTGGGAGAATGGGCTAGAATACCAGATACCAGAAACAGGTGACAGGTCACTTGCTGTTGTCAGGGGGAGTCATGTTGATCCCTGGGGGGCCCCAATCCTCCCCAAACTCTATTCTTCCACTTCTACCGTACTGTCCATGAGCGGATAAACAGCCAACAGTCAAAATCCAACACCCTCCTGTGGCAACGTATATTTTAACATAAAGATCTCTAGGTAGACAGGACAGATACGCAAAGGCAGTTTGATGCAGGAGGGAGAAGACAGGCTTCATCCAATATAGCCTGGGTTAAAACGAGTTCCCACACACATTGACAGAGCTTAACATGAGAGTATTGTGACCTCACAGGTCGGTGCAAAGATTCCAGCAGTACCCAGCACCAAACTGACAATGGCCATCCCTACTGGCCACTTCTCTACTGACCCCAGCAACTCTGGGGGGTCAGAGTTGGATAGGACCTTAAAGAAGGTCTCAACCACCCTCTCCTCCTATTGTCAGAATGGGGAAGGCCCAAGGGGTAAGGTGGTAGGGCTCACCTCCTTTCAGGTAGGCATGGGGCACGTTGGCCTCCAGAAACATGGCCTCCCCTGGCTTCAGGGTGAGCAGGTTCAGGAAGTAGACGGCAAAGCATCCAATGTCACCTGGGTGCTGCTGGTGTAGCTGCAGCAAGAGCTCCCCATAGATGTCCTCCATTTTGTTTCCAGCAGTCACTGAAGGTCACAGAACACCCCAAGGTCACTCGGGAACATTCAGTGGTGTTCACAGTACCACCTTGGCCAGGGAATCCTGGGGAAGCCCCCATCCACAGGAGTCCAGAAACTGGTGGGTGTGTCTTCCCGGCCCTCAGGACCAGCCTGCCTTGACATTGCAGCCCATACGATGCCATTTTTCCCTTTTGATCATCTGTATGCCCAGCACTATACTAGGCACTCAAAGGGCTAGAGTGTGCTCCTTTTAAGACAGTGTTTCTCAATCTCAGCACTAGGAACAGTTGGAGCCACATGATTCTTCATTGTGGGGGTTGTCCTGTGCTTTGTAGGGTGTTCGGCAGCATCCCTCACCCCTATCCACAAGGTACCACCATCACCCCCAACCCATGTTTGGACAATGGAAACTATCTCCAGACAATTGGCAATGTCCCTGTGAGAACCACTGCTCTAAGCATCCAAAACTAGGTAGGAAAAACCCAAGAGTTCCATGTAGGGTGATCAACTGTCCCCGTTAGCCCAGGCCTTCCCCTTTTTAGCACTGAAAATACTGCATCTCCAAAAGTCCCTCAGTCCCAGGCAAACATGATCGGTCACCCCAGAGAGCATGAGGCAAAAAGCCCCAAGAGCCAAAGTGCGTCCCGGAGCCTAACTAGGAGAGTCAGCCCAGCCTGGGGCAGAGCGAGGGGAGGCTTGTTGGGAACTGGGCGAGGCAGGCAGAGGTGAGCCGAGTGTTCTGAGTGTGCAGAGGTGGGAGGAGAGTATTAGTAGAAGCAGAGTAGGTCAGTGCCCCAGTGAGGAGACCAGCCGGACCAGGCCGGACACTCGCACTGAGTCCCATGCAGACGCGGTGGATGCCTGCCTAAGGCCTGGGGACACAGAAGGTCAAGAAAACAGGTCCCTGGTCTGAAGAAGACCCGTTGTAACAAGTGTGCTTGTGATGGTACAGGCTCGCATAACCAAAGGCTATGATCGAACAGGGTTTTATGGGAGCGCCAGGCAGGAGCAGTCAGTTCCGCTGTGAGTATAAGAAGCCCCTTCAAGGGAGAGGCATGCAAGCAGAGCAAACACCAAAAAACAAAGCACAGGGTATGCTTGAGTGAAATAAATAGTTCCTTGTGGCTCAAAGGTACCTGGGAAAATGTTCAGAGATAGAAGAGCTCTGTGATCGCCTGGAGAAGGGGGTGGGGCCTCACGATGTGTCCACGCAAGCGCATAGCTGAGAGTCCCTTCTGCCTTGTTCTATACTGCTTGTATTGACTCCTCAACCCAAAGGCGACACAACCACACCCACCAGAGTCATTTCCTGAACTCTCCTTAGTTAGCACAAGGTTGGGCACAGAGCAGGTACTTAAGGAACAATCTACTGACTGAGAGCTCTGGGCACCAGGCCTTTGGAGGAGAGGGTCCTCTTGTTCCCTCCCTGCTCTGTAGACCCAGAGTGCAAATCCATCCTTGGGGAGCAGCTGTAGGGCTGCGGAAATCTCAGGGTGCCGATGGGAGACATCCTGTCCTTCAGGCCAGCTGGTCTCCAGCCAGTCAGGAAGGAGCACTCAACCTAGAGCTCTGCTCCATAAAGACTAAAAAAATGCCAAGTTGCTAACAGACCATCTAAGTTGGGCCCACTTTAGTATTGCATTTGAGCAAAGGGGTTGAGAACTCTCTCCCCACAGCCTGGTGACTGTGCCAGAGGCCCAGAATGGGCATTTCACCTAGGCCTATAACGTCACCCACCTTGCTGGGAGATCCGCTTCACCAGTAGGTTGAGCTGCTCCACCACCACCTTCTTCTCGCTCTTCATCAGGTGGGAGAAACAGCTCCGCAGAGCAGAGGCCATGGTCTGGGAGTCATGGCTCATGCTCTGCTTCAGCTGTGTTGCTGCACTATCTCCAATTAGAAACTGGAACTCGGGCACCTCTGCAAAAAAGGCCAGGCCAGGGCCCGTATCAGGAATGGCAAAATGGCCCTCACAAAGTGGAAAGTTACAGGAGGCCTTCCCATCTCACCCCTAACCAAGAAGCAAGGCAATGCTAAGTAGAAACCGACTGCTCACCATCAGCCCTCAGCAACCACACCTGAGCCTGGTCACAGGGGCCTTCAAGAATTCATGAAGCCAATCAGCCCTTGAGTTCCTGTGATATTCAGCCTCTGTTCTCTGCCACTGTTCCAGCTATGCCCTGGCTTGCCCATGCATCTCCTAGGCCCAATATGCATGCACTCAGGATTTTGCCCAAACTTACTTGTCAGAAAGGTCACAATTTCCTCAACTGGCCGGAAGCCACATAAGCCCTGGAAGGAGGTGAGTGCAATGGCCATCTCTGGCTTATGGTTGGCATCCGGGTAGTGCTGGGGAGCCTGGAGGTGCAGCTTCTCTGCCAGCTCCTGTGGGATGGCCAGGGAAGAGGGGGGTCAAGGTGTAGCCATCAGCTTGCAAGACACCAGTCCCACACAGCCCTTGTTTCTACCCTTCGCAGTCACCAGAGCTTCCTACCTCTGGCAGCAAGCCCAGTTAAGGCATAATGCAGAAACTTGGGGTTCAGCCAACCCCACGGCAGGGACATGGTCCAAATCTGGAGGAGAGCTGGAGTAGACTAAGAGGCTTCGGCTGCAAATTGGGAAACCCAAATACCAAGCCAAGCTCTAACCCTAACAAGCTGTAAGACTTTGGGTAACACCTGCCTTCTCTGAGTCTTAATTTCCCCAGTTAGAGATGAGTTTGGACAAATGTGATTGTGACACACAGACTTGTGCACAAAGACACTGGGAAGTGGAGCTGAGGTAATAGCTAGGGTTCCTGCCCCACCCTGAAAAGTGAATTCTGCCAGAAAGCCAGGTGGGAAAATGGTAGATATGAATAGTACCGGGCTGGGTAGGGGGAGCTTGGAGAAGCTCCCCTGGTACAGGCTGGTCAGCTGTCCACTTAGAATTTGCTGCCAGCATGTGTCACCAGGATATGGCCTTGCAGGGCTAAATTAGGAGTCGTGAGGCTTGGATTTAGCTTTGGGCTGGAGCCTGGCAAGGTGTTGTAAAAGCAGCAATAAAAGTCATGGGAGAGCCTTGACACGAGCTCTTCCCTACCCTGACCTCTGTGCCCCACTCCAATCTTATACCTTGTTAGGGTGTGCCTGGATGGACAGGGCTGTTTCAACAGAGAGCACTTTGAAGAGAAAGGGCAGCTTGCCATTAAAGGTGTCCTTGACCTTTGAGCCCAAGCAGTCCTGGTTCTCAGCAATCCACTGACCTAGGGTCTTCTGTGAGATTCGGTTGTCAAGGATCTTGGCATCTCCCCGGGGATGGGTCCCCATCCACAGCTGGAAAAACAGGAAACTTGGAAGATGGAAGAACCTGGCACCCCCAGTTAGCCTTCCCTAATCTCAGTTACCCTGTGTTCCCCAGAGGGCAACTGAGTTCTGAGATGGGCCTCCCAGGACTGGGAATAAATACTCACACCAACGTAAACACACAGGGGGAGAGCAGAACCCAGCACACCAGGAGTCCGGGGACCCAGGCTCTGATCCACGCTCTGTGTCTACCAGCTACGGAGGCTTGGCCTAGTTATTTCCTGTTTCTGGATCTCAGCTTCCTTGTCTGCTCAGTGAGGGGAATGACACCTGCACTGCCAAGGTTACTGAAAAGCTCTGACTCTCAAATGGCTCTGTGAGGGGGTAACATTCATTTTTTCCATTTCTTAGAAGCAGAGTCTAAAACATTCCTATGCTTTGCCTTTTCTCTACTAAACAGGAGAATGACATATTTTAGGTTATTAAATGTAAAAGTTAGTCAAACTGAAAATTTTAATTGTTGAAAAGGACTTAATTAAAATTCGGTAAGTGCCGAGAGTTCCTGGGAGGAGTGTACTGGAAATCCCAGCCTTTTATCACAACACCCTTCTTTTGGTGCCACGTATGGGTTCTTCAACCTGCCCTGATGTGGAAAGCCCAAAGGGCCTCCCCCCTCTTTGCTGTCCCCTCTCCCAGCTAATCCACAGGACTTGCTTCGGGCCCTCTGAGTGGAGTCCCTTGGTCTCACCTGCCGGTGAAGTGAAATACAGCCCAGGGTCTCACCTCTGCATATGGCTTGTCCTCTGAGATACTTGCCAGTGGGTCACTGCTGGCCAGCAACTGAGCCACTTCACTGCTGGAACCCATCTTTCCCCAGGCATACTGCTGCACCACGCAAGAAAGTGGGAATACTGGGGACACATAAAAAGGGTCAGCCACCACTCCACTCCTGAGCCCTGACCCTGTCTTGGGGAAACCAGACACAAGCTAACGGTTTCGTCTAGGGGACAAGGTCAAATAAAGAGTCTGCAGGCTGTTAGCTGGGACCCTTCTCTACATCAGGCCTCAATGTTCCCATCTGTAAAGTGGGCCGTAAGGCTCTTCTGCTGACGTGAGGCAGATAGTTGCGTTGAGGTGACGGGGAGGCAGCGGGGAGAACCTATTCCAGGCACCTGGTCTCGCAGTGACCAAGGCGTGGTCCCGCCCACCATCTAAAGACTGAATAACGGCTCAGTACCCATCGCAGGTGCCCCCTCCTCTGCCCAGCGCCCATCCATATGTCTGCGGAGTTCCAAGGGTGGATTCGACTTGGCATATCAAGTCCGGAAGGGTCCCCAGGACGCGACAGGAAAGGGTTCCCTACGCTCGCTGGCACCCAGGCCAGAAGCCCACCTTGCTGAGCCGCCATCCTCCCGCACCGGAGCCGGCTTCCAGCACGTATGCCCTTCCCATCAGCCTCCGCGGCCCCCTGCGCGCAAAGCTCCTTGGGAAACGTAGTTCTCGAGAGCCGCCTCTGATGCCCGCGCGCCCCGTATGACCACTACCCAGACTCGGAATCCCTGTCCCACACACCAGCCAGCAGGAGGAGCCCACCAGCCCAGCCCAGAGGCGACCGGCCCGCAATATTGGGTCTTAGTATTCCTTCCTTCGTTCCTCCACCGGACCCGTATTTATAGAGAAACCTGCTGATGCCATGGATTGTTGTAATACATCCAGAAACAAGATAATGATCCTTTTGCCTCTGTAGAGCTTACATTCTGGTGAAGGGAAGCCAGGCAAACAAGTATAATGAATATGTAAATCATAAAGTATGTTAAAAGTGCGACAGATGGTAAGGAGAGCGGGTGGGAGTGGGAAGCACAGTGTAAAAGGCTGTTTAGGTAAACCTCATTGAGAAGGTGAGATTTGAGGACCGATTTAGAGAAGAGGAAAAGAAAATGTTCTAGACAGAAGAAACATCACGCGCCCTAAGCTGGGAATGTGGGGCTGTGCGGTCGCGTTCTGGAGTGAGCAGCAGTCAGGGGGCCAGTGTGGCTGCAGCAGGTGAGCAGGAAGAGGCTGTGCCTGTTGGGGGTGGGGCGGGGTGGCGAGGTGGTCTGGGAGGAAAGGACATGGATAGAACTTTGTAGGCTATTGTGAGAACTTCAGGGTTTATTCTGAGACTATGAGTCAGGGGATTTGAGCAAATAACTGTGATCTAAATAGGAACTCACTGTTGCTTGGTGAAGGCAAATGTCACATGCAAGGCCTCTAAGCTGTCTGAGCTCCGCTTTCTTCCTCTGTAGAACAGGCCTAGTAGTGTTGGCCTGACAGGCTTGTAGAATCAGATGGGATGGCGTGGGACACGGAGGGCAGTCAGTGCTTGATGCTTCTCTGAGCTTCCTTGCCCCAAGTAGTGTGGGACTCAGAACCCCAGCCCCTCTTCCAGGCTGAGAGGCTCACAAGTCACAAGCACTGAAACCAGGGAACGTCCCCGGAGCCCTGCTGGCTGGGGTGGGCCTTGCCTGTGAAATAGCTTGCTCCATCATGTGGAGAGAGGTTCTGACATCAGGATCTCCTCGGTTAACAGCCCAGGAGGAGGGCAGCCAGCCGGGGAGGCCCAGGAGCATAGCAGCTGAAGCTCCAAGGAGCTTGGAATGAGGGTCCACCATCCTGACTCTGCCTCCCCTTACCCCCAATCCTGGCTGATTCCCGCAGCCTCCACCATGCCCAGGCAGGAAAGGAAGTTCTATTATCTTTGTAATGTCCTGTCCTGCTGTGGACATCAACCTCCCTGCCCCCCCGCCCCCTCAGGTAAGTCAGCCTGCGTTTCAGAGGAAGCTTCACCATACGGTAAAGAATAAAAAAATAGAAAACACAAGAATTATACAAATAGCACATCTCACATACCTCCTACCTTTGAATACTTCTCCTTCCTGTCATTTCCACTCCCCCAGCCATACAGAGAAGAATGAAGGGCTGGTTTAGGCATAGGGGATTCTTGGAGCGCCTCCCACCGCCACCGCAGCTAGAGTTAGAGTCACTTCCTTACAGTATCTCTGCACAGGGAAGGGAGAACTGAGATTGTTGGGACAGACAGAGCCCCCACCCAACCCGACCCTCCCTACACACAGAAAAATGTATCTGTAAGGGCAATTAGGGTGTTTGGAGAACTTAGAGCATCCCACCCTTACCTCTTGTCTGTCTCCAGAACTGATCACACTGTATCTAGTGATCATCTAGTGATCATTTCTTTCTTTCCCTACTAGACCATATGTCTAATTCAGTTTCACATTTATGCCAGTGCCCTGCTGAGGGCTCAGGCTATAATAGCAGGTAACATTTATTATGTACTACTGCATTAAGCCCTTTTCAGGAATTCTTCCCTTTCATTCTCAAGACAACCCTATGAGATAGATATTGTCATTAGCCCCATTTTAGAGTTGAGAAAAATGGGTTTCAGAGAGGTGAAGCAACTGGTCCCATCTGCTATACATCCTCCAATTGTAAATGAGTGAATAAATGCATAATGTCTCTTTCACAGGGAAATACATTCCATGGGGTCTTCAGAGACAGATGGGTGGGCAAGGTCTATACTGGTGATGTCAAATTCCATTCTTTCTTCACCAGTCTGGCATTGTACTAGGCTGGGCAGACACGGAGACAGGAGAACCTCATGTTGTGTGGACTTATTTCCCTCTCAGGCTGTGGATAGCAAAGATGTCTATATGCTGCCTGTGATAACTGTGAAAAAATAACATGCTCCTGGCCAGAGCTCCTAAAACCTTTGTAATTTTTTCAGAAATGAAGTTGCTAGAGGCATCTTTTGTTTAAAATGTTTGGTCTTTGACCCAGGTTACTGATAGAGCTCCTAAATCCCTTAGAATTTTGTGGGTGATAGGAGCATCTGTCCTATTGAGGCAACTCTTGCTGGGCTCTGGGATAGCTTCAGGGTGGAGGCTGATCACCAAAAGACCAAGCCGATTAGAAGCTTAGAACTTTCGGCCCCACCTCCTGTCTTCCAGGGAGGGGTGAGGGGAGAGACTGAGTTAATAACTGATCATACCTATGTGAGGCAGCCTCCATAAAAATCCCTGAACTCAGAGTTTGGAGAGCTTCTGGGTTGGTGAACACATCCACCTTCTGGAAGGTGTGGCACACCCCAACTCCTCGGAGACAGAAACACCTGCATTCAAGACACAGACCTCACCTTATGTATTTCTTCAACCAGTTGTCCATCTGTATTCTTTATCATATCCTTTATTATATAATAAACTGGTAAGTGTGTTTTCCTGAGTCCTAGAAGCCATTCTAGCCAATTATTGAATATGAGGAGGAGGTTGTGGGAACTCTGATTTTATAGAAGTATAACAACCTGGGACTTGTGATTGGCATCAGAAGGGGGGGCAATCTTGTGGGGCTGAGTGAGCCCTTACTTAACCTGTGGGATGTGATGCTAACCCCAGGGAGATAGTGTCAGAACTGAACTGAATGGCACCCAGCTGGTGCTAGAGCATTGGCTAATGTAGGGAAACACACACACACACATCTGGTCACAGTATTATGTGGAAGTAGTGAAGAAGAAACACAATAATTTTCCCTATACTGCCCTTGGAGGGTGACTGTGGGGATGGGACACAAACATGGATCCCTTCCCATCTTCCCACTCGAGGACATTTTCTGAAGAAAAGTTGAGCTGGACCCTAAAGGATATTTGGGATGTATAGAGAAGAAAGGAAAGTAACAGAAGTGGATGAGGGAAATAGCAAATATTTATTAAATGCCTATCATGTGCTTGGTACTATGTTAGTGCCAGAAATACAACAGTGAACTAAACAGACCCAATTCTTGTCCTTGTGGAGCTTACAGTTTAGTGGAAAAGAAAGACATACACAAATAGCCACCTATACAAGTGGATACTTACAATCTGCAATAGGTATCATGAAGGAAAAGTACAGGGTAATATAAGAACTTATGTTGTGGAGGAACGGGCTCATGTAACCTACAGGATGAAGAGAGGTCACTCCTGAGGAAGTGGCCTCTGAGTTTGGATTTGAAGGAAAAGTAGGCATTAACTAGAGGATGAAAGGATATGGGGTAAGATCTACCAGGGAAACATCATGTGCAAAGGCCCTAAGACAGGTGGGAACAAGGAAAGTTTGAGGAACTTAAAAGCCACCAGAGGGCTGGAATGCAGGGGGTGGGCAGAAGGGGTGGGAAGGATAGACAGGTGAGTGCAGATCCTGCAGGACCCAAAGGCCAAACTAAGAATTTGGGTCTTTGAAGGATTTTAAACAAAAAGTTCTGTAGCAATTGTGTCCCCTTTAGATAGATTTCTGGTTACAACATGAACAACAGACCAATTAGCAAACCTATACTAGTCTAGGGAAGGAATGACAGTGGCTGGACTGGGTGGCTGCAGAGATGAACAAATTCAGAAAGATAAGAATAGAGTTACTGGGGAGTGAATTAACCACGTCCCTGACGGCTTATAGCTCTATTGCCAAAATCCCTTGTTTACCTAACAAATGTTTGATTCAAATCCCACCTCAGGACCTGTCTGAGCTCCTGAAACGATAAAATTCAACATCACTTAATGGACAAGGCCTAGAAGCAGGGCTCAGCTACTGTGGGGGACAGCTGCACGGTTGGCTCTTCCCTAAAGAACCCCCCCTGCAAGGCCTCTACCACCAGAACCCTTTCCCAGCGCAGCTCAATCCCGTCGGGCCAGGGCTCCATTTCCCATTTCCAGCAAAGCAGGCTCACGCTCCTGTTCTCTGCCTGGACCAGGGCGGACTTCCCAGATTTGCCCTTCAGAGACGTGAAGAGGTTACGTTTCCGGGTCCACTCTGGGGAGTTTACTTTGAGCCGCTCCAACACAAAAGTTGGAAGCCATCAGACCGAGGGGCAGTTACAGCGCCGCCCTGACTCCTCAAGCGCAAAGAACCAAGGAAGGAGGGGCAGGAAAGCCCCCCCGGGGCTCGGCGGCAGGCTGGGCAGGGGGGCGGGGCGAAACGCCCGTGACGCCCAGGACCACGCCCCTCGGGGAGGGCACTGCGCCTGCGCCGGAACGGCTGCCTCGCTCCCGGAAGTGGAGGGTCTACGCGGAGAGAGCTGCTGGGTCTGCGTGCCCGGAGGCAGGAGCGCTCGCGGAGCTAGTCCATCGGCCCCGGACCGCCATGTCAGCCTTCGACACTAACCCCTTCGCGGACCCAGTGGACGTAAATCCCTTCCAGGTAGAGCTCCCAACTCACAGCTCTCTCTAGTGCCAAGGCCGCTGCCACGGCCTCTTTCTCCGGAGCCGGGAGACGTGGCGTAGGAGGGACGGACCATCTGGCCAATGGGCGAGTGGGCTTTGGTGACTGGCCTATCGTAGCGCCTGGGGGGCGGGACTAGCAGCCGGTGGAACTGCAGAGGGGGCGGGGTGCCATTGCATGGGAAGCGGTGGGACAATTTGGCTCCCAGGACTTAGCCCCTTTG